ATAATATTTTGCTTTACATTATAATTTTATGTAGTAATATATAGTATTTGATTTAATATGTGAGAGATGAATCATTGAATCTTTTGTAATGCAGTAAAGTAAATAACTTATAATAATAATTAAACAAAATTTATAAATAATATAATTACTATAACATAGAAATATGCTTACTCACCTAATTCGAGAGATTTGGTTTCTACACTTACTCCTTCCTTCAAGGTCATACCATTAACACCTATAAAAAATAATTTTTATATTTATAAGCTAATATTAATAATCACAAACTTAATTCTTCTTCTCTTATAAAATTACCATATGCTCTTTCTCTCTCTTTATTAGAACAGATAGAATAGAAATTAGAAAAATCCAAGGATTTAGCAGTTGAATCAATTTTGACATTAGCAATAAGAGGCTCAATTAAAACTAGGAAATAAATATTATGAACTCTACAAAGATTTTTGACTCTAATCTTAGAGTCTTTCCCGCCAATACCATGAACGTTCCAAATAAGAGCTTCAATCATTAGAATCTTTTGAGGAAGCTTGAGCTCTGGTGGATCTAGGAGTGGTAAAAGAGACATTTTTTGGATGTTTACCTTTCTTTCTGTTCACCATTTTGAATTTATCCTCTTTAGCCGATTTAGTAACTTCTTTATCATGATTATCCACCGAATAGATAATCTGAATAGCCTTATTATGGTCATTGCAAACTGATTGAGGAATAAATTCACCTTCTTCACGTTCTTCATGATTAACCATGGTATTCGAAACAATAGTATTCTCCTTAACCCTTATCTCCTTAACCTTGTTTTCTTGGGTCTAGAAATTTTTTCCAGCCACAGGCACATAAATCTATTTTTCGGTGGATCCTTGCTTCTCATTTTTCATAACATTAGAATTTTTAAGTTCAGGATGAAGTTTGAAACAGTCGAATTGAGCATGGCCATGAATCTTACAGTGAGAGCAGAAATCATGGACCTTTTCAAATTAGACTTTTTGTAGATATCAAAAAGCTTTAGAACCGACCCAAATCTCTTTAGGGTGTTTTTCAAAATGTCAACCTGTTGAGTCTAGTAAATAGGTTGTTAGACCTAAGTTAATGTCTCAAGGCTACCAAGAGGGGGGGGGGGTGAATTGGTAGTTTAAAAATGTAAACCCTCTTTGAAAATGTGTTGAACCGAAATGAAAATTTTTATTAAGTTTTTATATAAAACATTTTTCAACCACAGAGTTTTTTAAACAAAAAATAAAATGCGGAAAAGTAAAAATAGTAAAGTAAATGACATCATATTTATAGTGGTTCGGTCTAAACCAGACCTACATCCACTCCCCTGAGGCACCCGAGACGAAGATCAAATGACAAAAAGATTGGGTGGCAGTCTAATTTCGACTATTTATACAAAGACAAGAAAAACCGCCCAAAAACTGCAAGTTTTCAATTCTGTACGCAGTGGATCGTCCCGTACGATTGTGGATCGTCTTGGACGATATTACTTAAAAGCCTTGAAACGAACCTGTTTGTATATGTGTACGAAATGTTTTCGTACAAGCTGATCGTTCTGTACGAACAAAGTTTGTCCGGTACGAACGGTTATTACAAGGTCGATTCCAAAAAAACTGCAGAAAAATCGTCCTAAGTCAGTTGTATCGTCTGGACGAAAATTGGTTCGTCCGGACGAAATTCTTACAGAGACCAGATTGTCCTGCATGATATTTAATTTCGTCTGGACGAAAATCTTACATAGAGCAAATCGTCATGTACGATAATTTAATTTCGTCTGTACGAAAATCTTGTAGAGACCAGATCGTCCTGGACGATATTTAATTTCGTCTGGACGAAAATCTTACTGAGAGCAAATCATCATATACGATAATTTAATTTCGTCTAGACGAAAATCTTATAGAGATCAGATCGTCCTGTACGATATTTAATTTCGTCTGGATTAAAATTTTACAGAAAACAAATCGTCCTGGATGATTTTTAATTTCGTCCTGGACGAATAGGACTTAGAAAATTTTTCTGGCCAGTTCCTATTCGTTCCATGTGATCTTAATAGGAGATAACTGTCTGATCATCCCGTACGAACTGATATCGTCTCGTATGATCAGTATAAATTTTATATGATCTCCTTATGTGTGTGTGAATGTTTTTATTCACTCAATTACAATTACTCCCTTTCAAGTTTATTTCAAATAAAATACAAGCTTCAAATACACAAAGTATCTCATGCTGAATTTTATTTGAAGTCTTCGTAGTCTGGAGTTCGATTTTCCTGAAATGTTAGTACACACAAGAGCAAATACAAATCTTCTAAAATTGTTAGGAGATAACTACACATTTGAACAATAATGTTTGGAATCATCATAACAATACAAGTTACAAAAGTGTAAAATATGCAAATAGCAACTATCTTAACACAACCTCGACAAGAACTCTTGCAACCGAAGGTCTCGTATGAGAAGAGATAGCCTGATCGATCTGTAGAGTTCTATCGAAAATTAGACCTAATGCATGCAAACCTTTCGAATTAAAAAAATGAAGATGGAGGTTAGGGAAAGATATCTAGATCGGCACAATCGGAGACTCCTCCTTAATATCAAAAAAGGAGTCCATTTCAAAATTCTCATTTGGCAATTAAAAATAAAATACGATCGTCTAGCAAACACACGACTATATTCAAGATCATTCAAAAGTTGGATAGCCACATGCCTTGAATCGAGTAAACCAATGGAGTAAAAACCAGATAGTTTCAAAGACGAAAACAATTGGCGAATCCCATCCAGATTTGGACAGTGCAAACCAAATTTACCAATAAGTGTGAATTTCTAAGGGGAAGCTAGCTTTAAAACCTCATAATCAGATAATAATACCGCAGGAACACCATTGAAAGTGGATTGAGTAAGAGATGGAAGGTCATCACCTGCATCCGATTTACCGGATAGTACCTCTTTGAAGGATCTAGATCTAGAAGGCGATTTGGAACCATCACCGTCCAAATTAAAGAAGCCTTTGTTGTTATGCAGCACAGGCTCAGAAGCTTTCCCCCAGGAAGCGGATGAGGGAACTTCCGCCATTCAAAGAAAGCCCAGAAAGGGAAAAGCCTCAGAAGAAATCACCAGTACACTTCGATCTCACGAACACCTGGAAGAAAAAAGGAAAGCGAAGAGGAGAAAAGTCGATCACGAGGAGAGAAACCTAAATCGCCAGAGCGGCGCTAGGGAAAACACGCGAGCGAAGATTTCTACATGCGGTTTTTGATGTATAACTTCATGAATACTTAAAAGCTTTGGTAAATAGTTGGGATGACTATAATTTTTTTATAAAAGTGGTTGTTAAGGTGTTATGGAGAAAATAAAATTTTTTTAAAAAATTACATTTAAAAGCAAATTTTTAAAACAATGAAAAAATAGTGAATGAAAAAAAAAATTGTTGTGTTATGAAAAACAAAATAATAAGAAAACTTCCAAATGAAATCTAACCCTGTCATGATACAATTTTTGCAGATAAATAATTCATGATTTTCCATTTTAAGATCATCATGATATGATCAATGCATGAATTTAAACTAATTAATATAGGGGACCATTTTTTCTGCATTCTAAAATAATTTTTTAGTACAATATAAAAAAATTTTGTATTAAAAATTTATTTAAAACATAATAAAAAAATAATCCTAAATAAAATCATAATCATCAATAGAATCGAGCCAAATGAGTCAAAGCTCTTTTGCATGTTTTACTCGTGACAAGGAATTTTTTCTTTCAATACGTTTCCCATTTTAGTCCAAGGACCCGTTTCCCCCTTGTTCCCGGATGGTGGCAACGGCTGAACTACGTGCCACTGCGGCAGAGAGGACGTGGACAAATGAGTGACGGCGATATCCCCCATCCTCCCCGTGAGCCAGCTTTGGAGCCATTCACAACTCAGCCAGCCTATTAATACCATTTTAATACAAATAAAAAATACAAAAAGAAAACAAACAAAAATAAATAGTATAAAAATTAAAAAATTTGCTCTCATTAAAATTTTATAAAAATTCAAATCACATAAATATGTATAGATTTGCTGAATTAATAATTTTTTTCTTAAAAAAAAATAATTTCTTATACATATATATAATTTATCTATTAAAATTAAACTAATTTTTTTTAATATTCTGATCCCTCCCATTGGAGAGCTCTTCACGCCCATACATGCAACCCTCTGTAATTTGACGTCTTCGCTGCTTTCAATGGCATCCCCGATCACGAGCAGATTCCTCTCTCTCACTCTCTCTCCGTGAGGCTTTGGAGGAAAAAAAAATTAAAATAAATAAATAAGAAAAATAAATCAAAAAATTATTTACTTAACCAATTGAGTCGAGCCAACCTGACTTACCTCAAATTTGACATTGAGCTTATTGAGCTTGGTTCATGAGCAATTTATCGAGCCTAATTCAAACATGCTCACGAGCCTATTTAACTCACTTACATCACGACCCTAAATTGTATTGATTATTGATAAGAGATTTAAGTTTTTTTTAAAGAAAATTTAGTTTATAATCTAATATTATTCTTAAGAATAAGTTCCAATTATTGCTTGTGTGGAGGTGTTAGTACTATCGTTGTGTTGTACGGCTTTTGCATGAAGAAACTATGTTTAGAATATTTTTTTAATCATTTTCCAAAAAAAAAAAGAATATTTTTGCAATCTTGTAATATTAATTTAAAACTTGACGGTGAATTAATAGTAAAGAATAATAGGCAGCATTTTATCTGATTTCTATAAAGAGGTTGATGCAGGTAACTGAGATCATTTTTCGGCTAATAATTATAATTATGGTCTGATATGTTTAATTATTTGATAAAATTAAATAAAAAAGGTCTTCTATGGTTTGAGACAAAAGAATCTTTACTTGCAAATTTGAGAGCCTCTCTTCGAGCTCTTAAAGCATCAGCAACCCCATACCAAGCTTGAGAGGGATCAAGCAGAGCGAGCGACCGAGGCGCAGAGAGAGAGAGAGAGAGAGAGAGAGAGAGAGAGAGAGAGAGATGGTCTCAAGAGAGCAGCACAAGAGAGCAGCCCTGCATGAGAAGCTTCAGCTTCTTCGTTCGGTCACTAATTCTCATGCAGTAAATACCAGCTAATTCTCATAACGATCATTTATTTGCTGTGTAAAAGCTTCGATTTGTCTGTATAATCGTCAGAACTATATTACTGATCATCAATATATTCTTCTTCTACTTCTTCTTCTTCGTTATCATCGCCTGATTCTAATCACATAGCCTGTTCATTCCGAATGCTATTGTGATTTTTTTTATTAAAATAAAGTGCTGTGAAAAAAAAGTATTTGAATTTGTAAAACATGCTGTCGCGATGCTTAATCCTGTGCTGCTGTAAGTAATCAATTTTTATCCTCGTACAAAGTTAAACCTTTCTTCGTTTTTTTTTTAGTTACAAAACAATAAAAATTAACTCTGTCTGGCCTCAATTTAATCGATAAACTAATCATTTTTTAATTTTTCTAAAACATGCTTAATCTACTCTTAATGGTTTTGGTGCCCCAACATTTTTGTCCAATTTATGTTGCAGAAATGCTCATTTCATAATTAAAGAACAAATATCTGATACATTGTTTGATGAACCATTTTTATGCTGCAGCTAAACAAGAAATCCATTATAGTAGATGCTTCAGAGTACATTGAAGGTTTGAAGCAGAAGGTTGAAAGATTGAACAGAGAAATTTCATATGCACGAAATATAATTTCTGGAGAAAACAATAAATATACTCCAATGGTATGTTTTTATACATTTAATTATATGTAAGCTAGCTATGATTAATTAATTATGCTTACCAGTTTATATATGTATTACCAGGTCACTGTTGAACCTTTAGAGAAGGGATTTCTAATTAATGTATACTCTCAGAAGAGCTGTCCAGGTTTGCTTGTCTCTATTCTTGAAGTCTTTGAAGATTTAGGCCTCAATGTTCTTGAAGCCAATGCTTCCTGCACTGAGACTTTTCGTTTGGAAGCATTTGGAGCAGAGGTAATTAAAACGAGTAAACTTTTTTATATTCTATATATATAGTATATATATATGATGCCTCAGGCCTATTCATCTTATTAGTCATTAAAATAAGTAATTAAATTTCTCGCTTCAGATATAGCCAAAAAATGAAAGAGCTTGCTTAATATTTTCTTATCCCAACGCTTCTTACAGACCAAATGCAGTCCATTTGTGATCTTGTTGATATGCTCAAATATTTCAGTGATTGTTTCTCCGATCTTCATTCTAAGGAACTCATATTACAACATAAGAATATCAATTTGAGCTCTTTCATCCTCGTTCGTGCCTTCTTATGCTACAATAAGTTTGTTTTATACAATCTTAACTACCTTCATGTTGTAAACTTTCATATAATCATCATACTTCAAAGCATAATATCAACTATAACATTTTTTCCATGGAGTCGATCGAGTCCAACTCAGCAGATGCCCAATTTTCCATAAGCTTATGGGTGTCTACTCTATCAACAATAGAAATAGGCAAATAATTATATCATTTAAGTATTAATTTTCACATAAAGCATGCCACACGATTGTAAATGCATCATCTAATGATTTTTTTTAAAGGAAATCAAATGGCACATAATAAAAAAAGAGTGATATTTTGATGGAATGACCATTAGGAATCATTATAATTGTATGCTCGTGTACTATAAATTTGAATCTCGTAAACTAATTTTATTCATAGTTTTCAGCTATGATGCACCGACACTTCCACTCAAAGAGGCGTGCAGTGTCCGACATATATCCGACACGACATGCATCCGTCACTCATCCGACACGTGTCGGACACGCTAAAAACATGTCCATTTAAAAAAAATATTAAATACAAATTGGACACGCGTGTCCGACACGCATATCTTAAATATTTTATGATTTTTTTTAAATATAATTTATTATATTTAAAATTTTTACTTATTTACAATATAAAAATTAAATTTCTTATTTCCTATCTACAACATCAAATCAATCGCCAACACTAAATGCCCATTCATCAAGTATTCTCATTTTCATTTCTCTTTGGTGGGTTACAACTTTGATTTCATAATAATATTCGATGTCATCTTAACATCGACGACTGACGTCGTTACAACATCAACATTTTAAAATGATTTTCATATCAAAGTTTGACGCCGTCTCAACATCAACATTTTAAAATGATATCCATATCAAACTTGACATCTCATATTTATCCAATATCATTTCAACATAGACGACCAACACTCTCTCAACATCAATCATGAACATTCTCTTAACATTGATGCCCAATATTTACTGCATAACATCAATGCCCTACTCTCGATAGTATTGTCATCTACTCTCTCGATGACTGATAAATGGCACCAACACCCAACTCTCGACATCTTAGTATTAATCATTTTAAGCACAAATTCTAATTAAATGTCTAATTATTTTTTAAATTATACTTAGTCAATTTTTATACACTTTTTCTAAAATATAAAAATTATAATACTGTGTCCAACCTGTGTCCGTGTCCTAAATTTTAATATTTGATGTGTCCCGTGTCGTGTCGTATCCGTGTCGCCGTGTTTGTATCTATGCATCATAGGTTTTCAGTTTCTAAAAAGCTCTCTCTCAGCATATTAGGACTACTCTAAGCATTCTTGTTCTTAAAAAAGATCCTTTGAAATAGTTTATAATGTGATGTTTAAGCAATTAAGACAAAAATTTAAACTATAGATAAATAGGTTTAAAATATGCAGTTGTTACAAAAGCTAGCTTACAAAATTAATGGAGGCCCACGAAAAAGTCCAGACGCATTAAACATTGTGGCGTTTGTTAGATAATTTTTTTATTTGGGGAGAACTTTAGGCTTCGTTTGGGTCAGATTTCTTACTGTTTTTTAAAGCTATATTTTAGTATAAAAAGTTTTAGTTTAAACAATTTTTATACTAGAAAGCTGTTTTATAAAGTAAAAAGAAAATTGTCCCAAATAAAACATTAAACTTTAATGGAGGCATATAAACTATGAACAATTATATATTTGATTTTCTAAAGATTTTCCTTTAAAGGAAATTTTGAAATCAAAGTTCTTAAAATATTTCAAAATAGGTTTTGGGACTATTTAAAAATATACAATTTATTTTTTAAGTATATAATTAAATATTTAATTATTAGGGTAAGCAATTATCAAGTAGTTGAGTAATTAATTCTATGTTGGTTCATTTTCCTTGCTTGCTAACTTGCTTCAATATATTTCCATATTTCTTTTATATAAGAAGAAAAACAAATATTCCTATTAATCTTCACATGAATGAATGTTAGTCTTGGTTGCTTTTCCCATTTTCTGAACAAATATTATATAATCATTAGACTAATTTATATACTAAACATATTTGTTGTCATCAATAAAATAAATTTTAAAAAAAGCTTTATTAAGCCAAGTGTTTTTTCTATAGTTTTGTATATGTTGCAAAGCAAAGATCAACATATTTTCCAGATATAATCTTATGCAATCTTCTGATTTCTGAAACAAAGGTAATATTTGAATATTGTCAATAAGGCCAATGCTAAGAATTTGATTCACAACTTTTGTTTTTTTTTTTTTTTTTTTTTTTTTTAATTCACAACTTTTGTTTGTCTCATAGTAACATACTATAATTAGAATGTAAAATTTGAGGATGACATTTTTATATGTGGAGAAGATTGTATTATCCTAAACTTGCAATCATTAACTGGTGATTGTCGGTTCATTCTCGTGTGGAAAGATAAAGGGGTGTCTGATGTCATTTAGTGTCGAAGAAATGAAAGAGTTCGATTGCCGCTTGTGTTGAGGAGACAAAGAAGTTTGTTCCTCCACTTGGTGTTGAGGAGATGAAGGACTTCGTCGCTTTTAAAACAGTGAGAAGAGTTAAGGCCAATGTGAAGCCTTGAGCACGCAAGTGGTAGAGTTAGCGAGTTTAAGCAAGCCTGAGAGAGAGAGAGAGAGAGAGAGAGAGAGAGAGAGAGAGAGAGAGAGGAATACAATGATGAGCCACTAAGAGAGAAAGAAATAGGGGGAAAGGAACTTAAAAAGTTTATATATATATATATATATATAAGAGAATAAGTTTAATAAAATATAGGAGATTTTAATAATAAAATTAGTAAATTAAATTATTAATAATAATTATCATAGTAATTATGATATACTTTTATTTATGTGAAAGAATGAAAAATTATTTTATAAAAGTATTTTTTTTTTTAATTCTGTCATGTTTCCAAAGCATTTTTTTAATCTATTGAATGACATAACTGTAGGGACCAAGTAAATTTCCTATCTTGTCTGGTAGACTTTGATTTCGTCATATATTTTAAAGAATATTATATTCATTGCTAATTTGTTCAGAAATATTGCCCATTTTATTAGAAACAGTTCCACATGCTTGGAGGTGAAGTGGTGAACCCACTTCCAAATTGATCCAGGAAGTCGTTTTCCGAGCCAGGAAAGTGAAGATTATTCATCATAAGCCATGCCATTCACAAAACTAATCAACCAACGAATGGAAGTAAAAGAGATCAGATTTAAATAATAAATCTTAAAATACATTAATATCTTATATTTCGAGATCTTAAGATTAGATACTTGTAAAAGTCAGATAAAAAGAATTGAAATAATTAATGTGAAATATATATTAATTTCTTTACATAGGAACTATATTAACTTTATTAAATGTTGAAAATATGAATGAATTCAATTATCTATTTAAATTATTTATTTAATTTAGTGAGAAGTCAACAAAATGAAAATAATTAAGAGGAATTGATTTAATTTCTTTCTTGACTTTTTTTTTTTTTTCCAGTTCATGGAATGGGATTAGAAATAAAAAATAATTGTGATGTGTCTATTTTCATTCTGTTAGTTTAACAAAAAAATTATGATGTGCAATACCATAAAAATACACTTATTATTTATTATTTATTGTATGTATTAGATTTGACTAATATATTAAATACATGTGTAAACCTAATCATCTTTATTGAATGATTGATGAATAAACAGAATCATCATTGAATTTAATGAAACATAATTTGTAAGTCAATCAATAATGTGATATTAGATTTAAAGATTATATAAAATAACATATTTCAAAAATACAATTAGAAGGAGAATAATAATATATAGAGCTATTAATATCCTCCCAATTAAATTTTAATATTATGACATTCAAAAATTAGATCAAAACATCCCATTTACTTGAGCTTCATTTAAAATTATGGCATGAATGATTTTAATAATTTATCATTTGATCTTGTATCAATATATATTTTTATGATATTTGATTTTTCAAGATATTTGATGAATATTTAAATCATCAAAAAAATTAATATCACTTTATTAGATATAATTACACATTTACTATAATTTTGAATTTGAAGGTTTTATAAAATTATATGTAAAATTAAAATTAAAGGAAGAATAATCATTCTCTTTATAGAGGAGAAATTAAATATCTCTCTCTAACTATGACTATTTTTAAAAAAGCACATATCTCTGATAATTTTTAAAAAGCATAATCTTAATAATTAATAAAATTAATCATAGATTTACTACCTACCTATTTGATAGAGGGCTGTTGGCTATTAATTAATTTCCACCTCCATAAATTCTCTGACTATTTTCTTTTCTTTAAATGTCTTGATTTTCAAAATGTGAGTGACGAATGAACCATCTTTGATTGAGAGAGATCTCTAATATTATCATATACTTTCATTAATTATTTGATTTAATTAAATATCCTCCTTTAAAATCTTCTCTTCGCTATATCACTAATATGAAAAAATAGTAATTAAATCAATGTTACTTACAGTCTAATCATTTGCAGGAAGTGATGGAAACTCTGGACGCTGAAGTGGTGAAACAAGCAGTGCATCGTGCAATCAAGAACTGCACAGAAAGTGATGCAGATAGTGAGGAATAAATCAAGATGATCAAGCACCTGATTTAGATCTCATTACAATATTATTTCTATTTTCGTCATTTTGATTAGTATGATTTTGTAATTTCGAAGAAGTTTTCGTTCAAAAAATCTGTTGGAGTGCCGAAGAAAGATTTGTCTCTTCTCAATATGCCGATGGATTACATATGTAGCTTTTGGAAATTAATATGTATCTTTGCAAGTTGTATAATTATATATAATGGGTGTATTTAGATCATAAATAAGCAGCAAAAGGTTCATATGGCAGGCTAATTAATTTCTCTTCTAAAGAAAAAGAAGCTAGCATGAATCAAGAAGCATATAGATAGATGGAATATGACATTCATCCATGTGAATCTAGCTCCTAACATTTGGAAAGTAAATATATAGACACTTTATATATACACTGGTTAAAATTTAAGATTTTTATAAACATAAATCTGCACTAAATATATAGATGGAATATGAACTTCATCCATTAAAAGCTTAAAATTTATGATTTTAATGAAAATTTATGATTTTAATGAAAATTATAGAAGTTCCATTGGAAATGATGTGATATGTGCTGCATCGAGAGGGATAAATGATGATTATAGTGTTGAGATTGTTGTAACTTAGTTCTTCGATTGTTGAGATTGCAACATGTGCATTTTTATTACTGTTTCTCCTAACATATATATTAGATATATATTATTTTTGTTGTTTGTGTGTACTAACATTTCAGAGAAATCGTACTCCAGATTGTTGAAGACTTCAAGCTAGGTTTGCATAGGTTTCATTATAATTAGATTCTGTATTTTTACATTTTTTATTGAGTCTGAGAGAGTGTGATTATATAGGTTGGGGACGGTTTAGGAGAGAGAAGCTCCACAAAAAGAGAAAGAATTTTGAAGAAGATTTCGGCTGCAAGCATTGGAGATGGAAGAAGGTGGCCGGTCATCCTTGGATGACCGGAACACCAACTCCTTTAGATTTACTGTGCATCCAACTTTGTTGGATTCAAAAGGTAGATTTTCATTCAATTACAGCTTCCCTCAGAATTCTTGTTTTTTGAACTCTCCTTTGGTTATTAGAGAGGGAGGTTTGGTCTCTATGCAAAAGTCTTTACCGGAGACAAGTAAAGGAAAAGAAGTCATTGAAGTTTTGAACAGTAAGTCATTCCCACCCAGGTCGGTTTTTATCCTTAAAGAAAATGATATGGAAGCTTCTTCATTAGGTTGCAAAGATAATAATTTGTTCAAGAATGATAAGGGTATTGATAATACCAATCTCGTTGATGTTAATATCAAAAATCTTGTATCTTCATCTGGATTGGATGATTCTAATATGTGGACTAAAAAACCACATATTAAAATAAATTTAAAAGAAGTTCATTATGAAAATGAAGAAGCACATGTGGTCAAACTTGATTTGGAAAATGAAAAAGCCAATGTTCAAGTGTTGAGAAATTCATTGGTTGTGAAGATTCTTTGTAAAAACTTGCCCTTTTTAAATTGTGCTATTGAATTAAGGAGGCAGTGGGTTAAATTTGGAGGGTTTGATATAATCTCACTTGGATTAGATTAGTTTTTGTGCTCTTTTCAGTCACATGAAGCAATGGAGGAAGTTCTTAATGGAGTTCCTTGGTATGTGGGGGGCTTCGTCATTGGGTTAGATAGATGGTCTCCCAATTTCTCTCCTAATTCCATGAATGGAATTTCTTCTCCTATTTGTGTTCATCTTACTCATTTGCCTTTACATTGCTAGGACGAAACCAATATTACTAGAATTATTTCTATAATTAGGACTCCTTTATTACTAGATGGCAACATGTTTAGATGGGGGAGAAGAGAATTTGCTAGAGCTTGCATTCGGGTTAAATTGAATTCTAAGCTACCTTGTGGAACCTGGGTTGAAGGTTTTCATGGTAGATTTTTTAAAAATTTGAATTTGAAAATTTATCATCTATTTATTTCAAATGATGAAGAATTGGACACAAAGATTATGTATGCATGTATTAATGGTTTTCAAAATCTGGATTTGCTTGATAAAGAAGTTCCAAAAAAATCACATCTACTTGAAGATAATTCCTATGGGCCATGGATGCATGTGAAATTCAATACCATAAAAAGGAAAAAATTTGAGAAAAAGAAACCTAATTATCTCTTCAATCCTGTTAAGAGTAATTTGGTTAAAAGTCATGATGAAGATTCACCTCCCAATTTTCTAAATTCCAATAAAAATAATGAGTTATCTCTTGGTAACAATATTAATTTGGAGGGTGATTTAGTTGAAGCTATTAACAAAGAAGATTTTGATAAGAGTTTTAACAAGGTTGCTGATTATTTTATGGATCAAAATATGGATGTAAATCAGTTTAATGGATCTTCATTAATCCATTACCGAATTATCTTAAATGACTTAATTTTGGAACAAACTTTTCTTCCTATGGAGTTCGTTCATAATTCAAAATTTGAATTCAATAATGCTAATAGTATGGGAGAAGGTGAGGTTGCTGTTAGTGCTAAGTCAGAGTTGGTTGCTGAATCGGTGGAAGCTTCAAAAATTGAATTCAAAATTTCACAATTACACGAAGGAGTTGAGGAAGCCGTTTATTCTGAAATAGAAATGGTGGCTGAACCTTTAGGAGCTCTTCCTTCAGCTGTTTCCTTGGAAGCTCCTAATGTTATGGAAATTTCAAATGGATCTACTATTTTGGAATTACTAGAAGTTGTTACTTCCTCTTCGGAAGTTAACCTGAATTTTAAAAAGCTGGTATTAGTGAAAGGGAAATTTGAATCTATTAATTTGGATCATTCTTCAGGTTCTAAGCATTCTTTTGGTTCTAAGCACAAATTGTTCAAATAATTACAAGACTTAGGATTGGTAAAAGTTCTTCCTATAAGGAAGGCTGATCTCAGAATGAAGAACTGTATAAGAGGTTCTTCTCTCTTAACTCGTTAAACATGCTTGATGGTTTTCTCTTTGCAATTAACAAAGTAGAAAGATACTCGAAGATGGAGCTATTGATCAAAGAATTCGTCAGAATGCTAGCTTTGAAGTTGGAAAAGGCATCTGAAATTCCTTCGTGGATATCAGTGATAAATTGTATTTTCCTTCTTGTTAGCTTTGTAGCTTCTTTTTTCTTTTAGGTTTTTATTTGTTTTTTAAACTTATTCTAATTGCTTATGGGATCGTTACTAGGTCCTATTTTTTAACCGGTTGGAAACTCTGGGATACTAACCAACCTTCGAGTTGTTTAATACTTTGGTATCCCCTACATCTCAAGAGTTTTAAAATGGGAAAAAGTGGGTCTCATTTCAATAATAATAAGTTTATTTTAACAAATATACTTTCAATAAGGTTCCTTTTTCTTTTTGATCAATGAACCATTAGTTTTTTCATTCTAGTTTGTATTAAGTTGTTATTTCTTTCCTTTTAATGCAACAATTGTATTTCTTCAAAAAAAAAAAAAAAGAGAGAGTGTGTTTATAATTGAGTTACCGTGCACACACACACTGGGGGAGCATTAATTTTTTTTAAAAAAACTAATCATAATGTATAGTTTTTGTTCATACGGGACGATTTGTTCAGTTATTTTCTCCAACGAGCAATTATCAAAACTTGGGCGGAAAATTTTTTTCTAAGTATTATTTGTACTGTACAAAGTTGGCTTCGTACAAATGACATCTAGAGTATAAAAATGTAAGGAACATTTTTTTTTTAGATGAACATGTTAATTTTGTTTGAACTGTTCGTCCAGGATGATCTGGACTTCGTACAGATGATGTTTAGAGTATGAAAATGTGGAGATTATTTTTTGTCAAGACGAACATATAATTTTTTTGAAATGTTCATCCGGGACGATCTGGATTTTGTATAGACGACGTCTAGAGTACCAAATTGTTAGGAAATTTTTCATCCAGATGAATATGAATTTTTTTATATAACTGTATGTACAGGATGATATATATATTGTATTGTACGATAATCTTATTCAAAAATATTTTGTACACGGTCATACTAGTCAATTTTGGCTTGTTTGTTCAAGATGAATATCGAACGTACTGAACGATCGTGCGTTCTCAAAATAGAAATGTTCAGTTTTATATATGATTTTCATTTCTTTTATATAAATAGTCCTTAAAACTTACTTGAGAAGTATTGTTCTTCATGATTTCTTTGAGAGTGAGTAAAATATATAGTATTTTGGGAGAGTGTTTAGAGAGAGTTCTTACAAGTGGAGTGTAAATGATTCACAAGGTTACTCAAAGGTAAGAATCTTTTATATATATATTTTTTTATTTCTCTTCCTTTCTTATTTCTAGTTGCTAGAGAGAAGATTCTTGAAGAAGGACAACGGTACTCTATCGATACTTATAGGGTGTAAAAAGGTGCTGGTACTCTGCCAACACTTGGAGAGTGTGAAAAGATGATGGTAATCTGCCACACCGGGGATTGGTGGAAGATTGAAAAATTGTAAAGGTTTCTCCGCCTTGCTGTGGGGCAAAAGGAGAGTCACATTAGTAATAGTGAAATACATGAAGGGGGGGTCTTCAAAGAGTGGACATAAGTCTTATTGGACCGAACTACTATAAATCTTTGTATTTATTTTTATTTCCACACTTTTATTTTTCATCATTTTATGTTTTGCGGTTGAAAAATTATTTCCATAAAAAATATAAGAAAAACTATTTTCATTAATTTCCAAGAGAATAAATTTTTAAAATACCAATTCGCCCCCTCTTGATTAGCCTTGGGACATTTACATTGGTTTAACAATTTATATGAACTTTATAAGTGGTATCAGAGCCTTGTTTCAAAATATTAAGTTTAGACTACTTTTTCAAAATGATAATGGCTACTGTTTGAAATCATAACACATCTGAAGGATATTCGATCACTAGACCTCCGTTATTTGATAATATCCCTTTTGATTTTTAGAAAACACATATATCTACTTTTCTTCAATCACTTGAATATCGCATTTGGATTTTAATTTAGGATGGGTATACTAGGCCTACTAGACATGTAGATGACATTAGAGTTGAAACACCCTTTGCTGACTGGACTGTAAAAAAAGAGACTTATCATAATTAAGGGTAAAATAATAATTTGAATAGTTTTTTTTGTGCACTTAAATCAAAAAAAGATATTTATGTTTCTACTTACAAAAGTGGAAAAAATATGAGATAGATTCTGTATCACATATGAAGGAACTAACGAAGTGAA